TCCAAAACCTTAAAAACCTGGGAAAGCTGGAAATGTCCACCATTCCTTAAGCTGAAGCGCTGCTCCTGGACAGTGCTATAATATTGACTATGGGTTCCGTTTATCAACATATATTGGGTGTCACAGTTTTTCAGCACAGTTTTCTTGTTGCTCCAGTGACAATAAGGATGGCTTTAAAAAAGGGGGGGGGGTGATGTAAGATTTGTTTGCCTTTATTTTCATTCCACAATAGCAATCCACTACTAAAAAGTAAAGATTTACACTATTTATAGCCTTTCTGATAATGTCAGGCATTATGCTTTATTTTCCAAATCATTAGCATGCACAAGAATGACCTCATGGTGAACAGATGCACTTGGATATGGCAGTGATTAGATCAGTCCTCTCAGCAGTCAAGTGTGCCCATTCCAATTAACCCTTTGAAGCACTAGCTGCAAGTCTACAAATACTATTAAGCCTGCTTGCAGGTACAATTTCTAGGGTCTCCTGTTGAAACAAATCTACCAATCTAAGCATCAAAATGTCTAACATGAAAAGTTTTCTGAAGAAGCTGATGTTCATGAAGTCAAAAAACGGATTCTCTTTTCTAGAACTTTCTATTACTTCCATCTCCTGGGACTTAAAACCACCATTGGGTTTCTATTTTTAAATTGCAACTACTTTTTTTTCCATCAGCAAGGATAACTAGATTTGAAAACATAGTTTGGCACCTATTAATACATATTTAATATCCGTTTAGAACAACATACTTGAAATGATACGCCAACAAACTGTATCTTCTCAAGTATGTGCACAACACCACTTTTTTCTGTAAAAATTAGCTTTGCTACTTTGACAAATGTAGGAGGGAGAAAAGAAGCAAAGATGGTAGCTAAAAACCCCTTCCCAAATGGAAAAATCTGCAGAGGAACAGGATAAGAATAATTAAATAGCGTTGGATTACTAAGGATTTCCTGGGTTGACTCTCATACACAGCCTAATTAAAATAAGTCATGTAATGTACCAGTTTAGTAACAAAGGACCTTTTCCTCAGCTTTTGTTCCTAAATCTACACAGACCCTAAATGAGTTCAAGGGTGTTCATTCTGCCTACTGTTCTGTATTTTCAGGTCTAAGAGACAGGGATGTTTATTGCTAGGTATAAGGAGTTTTAAGGCCTTGCTCCTGAAAACACTTACAGAGGATAATTGAAGTACAGCTATAGATAGATTTAAGCACCTGCACACCAGTCTATGGGATAGGAGGCTGAGTCAGTGAATACTTTACCACCCTTATCACATGTGAGCCTGGGGGCAACATCTATTCTGCAGCAACTGACTGTTTGCTAATATTCAGAGTCTGTGTCAGAAAACATAAAGCATGTTTCATTCAAATAAATAGGTCATTATTAATAATATGCCAACTGTCTGTGTTATTAACAGCTACATTTTTTCAGTACAATGTGTAATGTTATGCTTGGATATGAATCTTACATTGCATGAAGTATTCAAAAAATCCTAGATATACCAGAAGTGTACTTTAACTTGCTGATCTCTGGGATTGTGTATTTGTGTATATGGCGATCATGGGATTATGATTAGGTGATGGTGAAGATAAGGTTGGGGAAGAATGGATCCTAAATTCACCATGAAAGTTCATGCCAGTTAGGGTCAATATTCCCACTTGGTTTGTTGCTTGGAAGAGGAAAATATAGGTAAACTGCCTGTTTTGCCAGCTCTGCTCCTTTTTACCCGACTCCTTTTGCTGTTTCAGGATGGGAATCCCCTTTAAACTAAAAAAAAAATATTATCACCAGGCATTAAATTTCTTAAGTAGCAGCATGCTACTTTTGCACAAAGGGCGCAGCTACACCTGTGTTACGCATGTTTGTGAATTAGGCAGACTTCTAAAATGCATCGCACATAGGGATAGCAGACTACGTGCCTAATATTTGTAGGCTGTAATAATCACTGCTTCTATTTGCTTATACTCAAACTGATTGTGTGGGAAGAGCTCATTTTAAACCAGACTTCCTTAACTTTTTCTGGACGATGATGTGAATGAATAAATACAAACATAAGTTCATTAGATACATTTTGGATCAGCTTGTTTTTTATCTACCAGAATGGCATTATAATTTAATGAAAAATTAAACTTTTCAACATCTGCACAAAAGGATACAAATAGATACTACTATGACTCTTTGTTATTACACAATGAATTGATAATGCAAGATCAAATACAAAGAACCAGCAATCTAAAATGTCAGGAAAATAAAAATGTTTTATACTAATCCAGATGTGCCAGATCTTGCAAGGGGACCTGAGTGATCAGACTACTGTAGTCATGTGGAGCAGTATTAACTGCCTGAAGAATCAGGGCCTATGATGAAGCACACTGAGAATATCCAGTAACAACTGTAGACTTACATGCTTTATGTCTAATTTCAATATTGACTTAACTCCTGGAATTATGTATGTATAGTATTTGCCAAAAAGCAGGTAACCATGTAATCTAGTAATAGAAAATCATTGTAGTTCTGATACTGAACACTTCAGCAACTAAGTAGTCAAAAGGATAAAAGTGGATAGATATTCTTTTAATCAAAGAAGGGGGAACTTTCAGAGATGTTGATTTCCATGTCTCTGTAAACACTAATATGACAAGTAATTACCATGAGCTATGGAGTTGTCTATTATGGAAGATTTAAATTAAAAAATATTCAAGAAGTCTTTTCTTCTTGTTCAAAACCTCATCGTATTACATTTTCAAAAGCCCAGGATGAAATTATACCATTTTCTTCATTAATCTTTCAATATATCCTAGCAACAGCTCTTTTAAAAGAAGTATAAACTTTCTGGTAACACTCTACAGAGGTTTCCTTATGTCAGAACACCCTGAAACACAGTTCACGGAGAGGGAAATATGTGAGCCTAGCAATGGGATGCTTCTACATTCAAGCCTGAATCTCTGTTTAGTGCCTTTGTAACATGTCAAACTAAACTCACTGCACTAGACACCTCACTGCTTTGGGAACTTGTATTTTGGAATCTGATTCAGCCAAAAATAATCCTGACTGTCCTGTTTTTTATGTCTCTGAACGATTACATGTGCTCCAAACTCTAGAAGGCTGAAAATAAGGATCTGAATTTTGTAGTAGGTTTTGCTGTTTCAGAAAAATTTAAATCACAAAAACATAGAACTCTATTCAAGCACCTAATGACTATTCAACAACTTTTTTGAATAATTTAAACAGTTCTTAACCACATAACATATAATGTATGAGTGCATGCTTGTAGCATATGTAGCATACAACATGTATTAGAAAATTTAAAAGTCCTGCTATTGTATTTTCATATCAATTTGTCTTTTCTTGCTATGCTTAGTTTGGTCAGAATAAGATGAACAAATTAGGTACAAAAAGGTACTGGATTGTAGACTAGAAAACACTGGTAAATCCAATAAGTGTGCTTAAAGTAAAATTCAGCCAAGATGCTTGTATTTTTATTTGCTAACATCTAAACAGATAAATGACTCAAAATACCTAATAAAACTGGGTATGAAATCTACATGCCTGTGGCAATTGATACTTTTTTTGTCTCAGAGTATTGGCAGAGTGTATAAAAGAATTTAGTGCACAGCTGTTCTACTTTTTAATGTAGAAAACATTAATCAAAGCTTTAAGTTATAAGCTTTTCTAATGTTGTTTAGTATTCCAGTTCAACAAAGATCAATAGAGGCCATCCCTGTGTTTCTTGACGCCTCTCCAGGAAGCAGAGGCACGATTATGTAAATAACACTGGTTCCCCTTTACTTCTGCCAGCTTGCTTATCTCCAAAGCCTTCTGCCTGCTGCTACTGGCGACCAATACAAGTACATGCATACACCTCTTATCTCCTAACAAAGCTCTGAAAGCTCAAGGATTGGAGCCAGTAATGTTAAACAATGATGCATGGCTGATTTTATTTGTAAGTGATTTATTTCAGCAAATTTAAATTTCTTTTTTCAATTTTTCAGTTTAGATAGAAGATATTTGTTAACGAGTCAGAATAAAGAGAAATAAGGCAGATGTCCTGAAACAGTTATACAGGTTTGGATTAATCTATTAAACAATCCAAAAGTGTCTCATGAAATAATTAGAAAGGGCCAGTGTCACCAAATGCATGTAAAAAAATGGATTAAGGAATCTGTATATGAAGGATGCCATCAGGCACTGACCACACACTTTTTATAAGAGCAAAAATCTACCTGGAGAGTGCCAGAAGTCTCCATTTCAGAATGAAAGTTTCCCTTTAAAGCACATTCATTCAAGAATATCTAAATGGCAAAATTCATCGTTCATTCACTGTACAAGCTAATTTTAGAGCTTAATATGTCACATGGGACAAATTAACTGAATTGTACAGTAATTTCCCATGTTTCAGTAAGTCTCAGAACATGATTATCAAAATAAAGTTTAAAAACAGGCCTCATCCAGGTGTTATAGGAAGTTTAAAATTTGCCCATGGGTACTCTAAAACATTAAAGGAAAATGTTAGTCTACTGCACCGCTGTTATGATTTTCTAACAGAACACTATCCGTACATTTCTTCTGCATTAATCCCTGACCCTGGGATCTCAGCAGCATAATCCCCATTTAGCATTAGTAGCAACGGCTTCTACTGTGAGGAACTATTTTTTGATAAGTAAGCACTGATTCAGGCATAGCTTTTGAACAACATATTCCCAGCTCAGCAAGAAACCCACACTCCTGAATGAACCCGAGCACATTACTGAGAGAAAGTTCATTAACCTTGCTAGATTCAGAGGTTAGCAAGATAGCTGAAGAAAGGAACTGAGTGAATAGCTCTGATGCAAAACAAATTAAAATGAATGTCATCATTCCTTTTGATATTCATTAGTTGATTCAGGGGGAGAATGGTCTTCTTAAATTTGCAAGCATTTATCTACAAAAAACAGGTGTACATCTGCTGCTCAAGTGCTTCTTCGTGCTAAAGAGAAGAATAACATACAGAGACTCACCAGTTCCACTGAGGGAGTAGCTAGGAGAGGGAGAAAAGACCTGAGCTGCAAAATCCTCAAATGTCATTACTTCTTTGTGATTCTGGATTATTGCTTCAAGATACAGAGCTCTCTCCTCATAGCTGCAATAACCAGGTTAAGGAAATGTACCCACAACATTAAATGCTACTAAAGCATGTCTAAGAATGCTAACAGTTTAATCTGTACCAATACATGCAGAGAGCTGTATCACCGGTGTGAAAAAAATGCCTCTCAAAATTTCATAGAAATGATGATAATTTCTAAGAACAAGCACCAAATTGTATCAACACCACAATGATCTATCATAACAATATCTTTTTCAGCTGCAGTATCAAGATCATTACTGAAAATTTATGGCATGGGATGAATCCAGGGAATCTCTGAAGTTAGTGGGGTTTATAACAAAAATGTTATTGATGTAAAGTAAAAAGTATAATTTTAACAGAAATATTGGAGCTTCCTGAGCATATTCCTGGCTGATAATATTTTTATTACAATTTTCTTTTCTAACCTATAAAAAACATTGTGTTAGGATTTCAAGAAAAAGGGA